GGGATCCGCTTCATGAGTCATCTCAGCCAGCGGTGTCCAGATGGCCTGTGTTAGCAGTTCAAACCTGCAAGCAAGAAGGTGCGATCAGCTCACATAAAGATGAGCAGCCTCAAGGCAGAAACGACCCGGGCGGTGGGACCCAGTTCTTCCAAGGTGCTGCACAGGCAGGTGAGAGTTGGACGGTGGGAGAGGGAGATGGCAGTACAGACGCTGACTTCAAATCGTGGCGTTGGCAAACCCACACGGAGTCCACCAGGCTCGGAGGACTGCATTCCGCCTGCATGCGGAATGCTCCTTGGGAGCAGGAGCGAGGGAGGCCAGACGTCTTGCTTGCTTTAAGTACGTCATCAGGAAAGATAGACGAAGACATCGTGCTTAGTGAGCGAGATGGTCCCTACATGAGATGCGGTGGCTGGGTGCCAGCAAGTCTGTGCCAACTCAGAATCGCGCCACGAGACGAGATGCTACGCCAGGCTCACAGTGATGCCTGAGCCCATTGTTGCAGCCACTGTGCCAATCCATCTTTTTGAGGGTCTAACTCTCCTTTGCTGACCGCCCATTTTACCAGGCACGGGCTCCTGGTGGCGCATCCAAAGGAAGTGAGATGATGTCTCCCACCCTTACCTGTAAGGAACATGCTGGCTGTGCTTCCAAGACAGACGCACTACTTGTTCCGGCAGTCCATGATACTTCGAGATGTTCTTCACTGTGGTAGTTATACAATTGTCAATTTAAGGATTAAGCTTGTAGGGGTGGAGTCTAGCCTGTCAATCAGGTCATAGCCAATGAGGCTTCTGTGTGGGCATGGCCTTCCCCTAAGGATTCTGGGAATTCCGTATTTCTTCCTTGGAGGTGAGAGACTGCTTGCTCCCCGGGAGACATTGCAGCTGACAAGCCACATGGACGCAACCAGACCTCAGAAGCCGGAGAAGCCACACAGAGACCCCTGCCAGCGCTGAGATGCTTACAACACCACTGGACTCAAAGACTTTCTACCCACTGGCCTGTGATCATCCTGCATTTGACTTCATTGCATGTCTTTCATGAGTTTGAAGAGGACTTTATATAGATTGGTATTGGACATATGGGCTAATATCAGACTTACAGCCTTGGACTGGGTTGGGATGTTTTCTTCGTGTACAATCACTCTTGTATATAAACCTCTTCCTTATACACATATGTGTGTCCATGGATTTGTTTCTCTAGTCTACTCAGACTTACATGCATCGGAGCGGATGGAAAGTACCCTGGCTTGGCCCCAGGGGGTGGATTGGCACCGTAGCTGCCCCAAGGACTTGAGCATCGTGAAGATGGCACAAGACAGAAGCTTTTGATGTGGTGACACGTGAGGCCTACCCGGGTCTGCGCAGACTAGCTAACGGAATCGCCCCTGCCCCATGGGGACACCGAGGCTGGGAAGGTTATTGGAGCTTTAGCTGATGGTGCCCAGTCCCCCAATCCACACACAGCAGTGCCACCAGCTCACGGCCACTGTACTTCAGGGAGCCCCAGCAGGGACAAGAGAACCCAGGCTGTGCGCACCAGTGTCTAGCCTAGACCCCCTCGCCCTTGTTGGTCAGTCATGAGGTGGCCAGTTCAGGGGTGGGCCGTCCCCAGCCACAAGCCTACATCTCAGCACTGGTCACCTAGCAAAGCCACCTGTGGTGCTGGCACTGGCCCAGCTCCAGAACCTTCCATTCTCTAGCCCGCTTTTGACTGGCCCCTGGGAGCTGAAATCATTTGTATTTTATTTCTGCCTCCACCCTGGAGGACCTTTTGTTCAGTTCAGCGCTGTCTCGCCAGCCTGTGGGAAGGGTTTAAAGAGTGGCCTCCTCTCGGGGCCTCTGGTCCCCCCGCAGCTGGGCGGGCAGGGTGAAAGGTGGGGCTGCTAGGTCTCAGGTGTCATCGACTGGTAACTCAGGGTCACGGTCTCCAGTGGACCCCTGCCATTCCAGACCATGCAGATCCTCAGTAGCGGTTATTGTCAACTTGTGAACCTTTTCATTGTGAGTCAGGTGAAGGTGTACAGAGCAGCTCACCTGTGTTACGTTCCTGTTTTGTTTCAGCGCATCGTCTGAGCTCAGTCCCCTCCATTACCCCACTGCTCCCATGGCTTTCTTGTTTTCTGCACTTTATCCATGACTAAATGCTGCCCTTTGGATCTCAAATAGTTGGTTCTTATAAATAAGGGGTGGTGGTACTGAATTCCGTTTCAGACTGGAGGAGTGACGAGGGACCATAGTCTTAGGGGACTCCACCAGTCTCTGAGGACAGTGGGTTCTGTCCCCCCGGGCTTTCTAGTGCGATCCTTTTCCGAGCAAGCAGGTGGTGGTGGCGGATGGGCACCGTCCAGTTCTTCCCGTCTCAGCGTTGTCGGGAATGATGCTGTGCTGTCCCTTAGTCCAGCGGACTGACAGTTTCCGTATGTCTTTTATTTTCCTCACTCTTCTGTCCTCCAGGCGGGGAGAGACCAGTAGTAGTTGCTCACTATGACCAATTGCAGTCACAGGTAAACGCAGCTGTCAGACACTCACCTGCAATGTTCCTTAGATTCTACGAATGCAAATGAGATTGTTTAGTAAACTCTCCCAACATTGGGTTACAGCATTATTAGGCCCGACGGTCTTCAAAGCTGAGCAGAAGCCTTGGTTTCTTTAATTGCTATTCCATTCTCACGTAGGTATTGGTTCACAAATAGCAATTACCACAGTGTTGTTGCCACGAGAGCAGGAAACTGGACAAAACTGGTGACAACGAATACACTGCCAGCAACCAACAACAGCACAGGCGCACAGCATGTGCAGACACAACCACGTGCGTACAGAGACGTCTCAGGTGGGTGATAGTCACAGGTCTGCCCCGGAGAGTGCACAGCAGGAGCAAGAGGTAAGTCAGTGTGCTAGTCTGGGTACTTTAGAGAAACAAATCCACAGAAACTCATATGTATAAGAGAGAGTTTTATATAAAGGGTAAGTGCACATCAAG